GTTCGCCCCTCACACGGAGACCCTGCCAGCTCTGGACCAGGGCACCACATCTTCTCCTGCCGGAGTGCCTGGACCTGCCTCTGTCGTCCCTCCACAGGCAGAGACAGCCCCAGACCTCCCCTCTGTGCATTCTTCTCCCAGAGCCTAGGGGTGACAGAGACCCCTGACCCAAAGCCAGCCCCTCACGGCCCCGTGGCTGTGCCGACCGAGAGGCGGGTCTGGGCTGAGAACACTCCCACCCCTTCTGTGGCGGACACAGGGTAAGTGCTCTGCCTGCAGCATCTTGTGAGAGCCCACCATAACCTGCCGAGGGGGACGGACAAGAGCGATGGAAAGTGGCCCCCCGAGGCCACCCAGGTAGTCAGCAGGCTCAGGTGCGAGTCCAGCCGTTGACTCAGAGCCCCTGTCCCACTGTGGTCGCTGCAGCGGTGGAAGGTGTCAGGTGGGAGGTAGAGGCCTTGATGGTCAACTCAGGAATCTCTCCTCATCCCGCAGGAGGCGGGCCTTGTCACTGGATTTCACAGGGGAGCGGTGTTCGTTTTAGAATGATCATCCAGCCGGGACCGGTTTGGCTCAATGGATAGAGCGTCGGCTTGGGGACTGAAAGGTCCCAGGTTCGATTCCAGTCAAGGGCATGTACCTTGGTTGCGGGCACATCCCCAGTAGAGGGTGTGCAAGAGGCAGCTGATCGATGACTCTCTCTCATCGATATTTCTGACTCTCTATCTCTCTCCCTTCCTCTCTGTACAAAATCAATAAAATATATTAAAAAAAAAAAAAAAAAAAAAAAAAAAGAATGATCATCCAGAAGCAGTTTGGGCAGAGGGACCAGAGAGGAGCAGGCTTGATAATCCAGCTGGCAGCATGGGGGCACCCCGGGCTCTCTGTTTGGGAAAGAATCTGGGTCTGGCGGGGAGTGAGCCTGGAGGCCACCTCCTCGGACAGCCCCTGTGACTGCGTGCAGTGGGGAGGGGAAGGCCTGGCCATTTCAGCCCCAGAGGAGCTCCTTCTGCCGGGAGCTCCCTCTGGGGGGGCCCAGGCCTGGGCAGATCTGCGTGGAAGTCTGGACTGTCCTTGCGTCCCGCTCCCCTCCTGTCTCTCACAGGCACACCTTTCCCAGGAAACCTGGGCCTCAGCCTCTGATTCCCGAGCCCCCGGGGACCTCAGCAGCAGTGGTGGGAGGGAGAGCGAGGGGCAGGCAGGGCGGAGCTCCATCGCAGTGCTTCTGCTTACCAACGCTCAGCCTGGGACCCCATCAGCCTGTGGGAGCCCCAGTTTCCTCATCCGAACATGGAGTTAATTATCTCGGGAGCTAACAGTCTCTCCCTCGTGGAATGGTTGTGGGTATTCCATGACTGAATGAAGGTGAAGCCCTCAGCACTGTGCTTAGGTTAGGAATGCGCACAGCTGTTAAGATTTTCGCATTTGACCTGCTTGCAATGAGTAATTTGCTTTACTGTAAGCTCTGAAATCAGGGGCCAGGTTGATCTCACTCTCCAGCAAATCTAGCACAAATCTAGCGCGAAGCTTGACAGAGTGGGTGCTCCATAGAAGTGTGTTAGTCTCCTGCTGCCTCTCCCTGCCTCCCCTGTGCTCGACTCAGAGCATGCTCTGCCCAGCCCCATGTGGTTCCTGGAAGCCAGCAGAGAGAGGCTGATGCATTCACACTGACTTCGTGAAGGCTGGGAGTGCCGTGGGGGACACCCAGAGAGTGCAGCCATCCAATGGGATCCTCTTCTGGGGTCCTTGTCAACTGCCCATGACAGATGTCCTCCTGGACCCCCACGCCCCTCAAATGGAGCCAAGAGATGAAGTCCAAGGCTTCTCCCACCTCCGGCACACAGTCCCAGCGACTGACACTGGCAATGACATTCATGAAAACCCCGCCTGTGCCCACCCCTTAGCCCCTCCTGGAAGGCTCTCCAGGACACAGAACACCACAGCCCAGGACAACCACAGCATCTGCTCCTGCCACACGTGGGCACCTGGGAGAGGCTCGACACCGGTCATCACGTGGCACTGTAACCGCCCTTCCCTGCCTTTGTCTTTCTGTAGCCCCGTGGCAAAGCTCAGCCTGGTGCACAGTAGGTGCTCTGAAGACATGTCTGCTGAGTGAGTCTTGCAAGAGTGGAGAGGAATGTGACCGTAGTCCCAGTACTTCTGGTCAAGCGACTGTGGGCAATGCCCTGTCCCTCAGCCCTGGTTCTCTCCTGTGCACAGTGCAGACCAGAGCTTTCAAACTACTGGCCCAGAGCCCCACCACCACCACCCCCAAGTTGTAGAGATGTTGTTTCTGGTTCATTCGGTGTTTAATTTCATTTATAATTGGTTCCTAACATTTAAGCATTGGCTCTGTGAGGGCTAAGGACTGGTGTTCCAGGACCCACGGGTGACGAAACCCCTGGATTAGCAGCACCCTGGCTAAGAAGCCACTGGGGCTGAGTAATGGAGAAACTGCTGTTTCTGAGGATGACACAGAGCCAGGTGAGTGCTGAGACCTGCCTGTCCACCTGGGCCACGGTCCCCAGGGCTGGGCATTTTCAGTTGATGGCTCAGCCCAGGCACCGTGCCTCTTCCTGATGCCACTGAACCCAGTCAGCAAGAGCTGGCCACACCGCTGAGCCTGTGGGGGAGGGAAACTCTCCTCTTTGGAAGAAGGTAATGGTGATGCTTGGGTTTCTGAAGATGGTGGAAGGAGTAGCACGAGTGAAAGAAGCCAGTCCTCGGTCCAGGTGCTGGGGACCGGGGGTGGGGGTGGGGGTGGGGTGGGGGGAGACATCGCACCGTCAATGGATCACCAGTTCTAGCTATCCAGCAACGTCAGACCTCAGCCTGGCCTCCAGGGTCCCCTGTGTTTCCCCCACCTCACCCCCTTCTAAGCCTTTCAGCTCACGGTCAATGTCACAGCTTTTGCTTAAAAGTGCCCTGATCTCCCCTGGCTCTGGGCTGGTTTTGACTCATTGCCCTCCTCTTCACATCTTTGTGTCTCTGCCCCTCAAATGTGATCCCCTAAGCAGCTATCTCCCGTTCCTGTGTTCCACAGCCCCCTGGCTATTTCCTCGGCTTCTGTCTTGCTGTGCTGCCTATTCAAGGCTTGTTTCCCTTGCCTTTCTCACCAAATAAGCAGCTCCTCAGTGACAAGGGAGAAGGCCTTGACATACCTGATCGTGGAGTCAGACAGATTCCAAGTGAACGAAGGCAGCTCTCCCCAGGTAGGGCTGCTCATGCTTCAGTGGATGGGGATAAACTGCGGCCTCCAGGAACAGCTTGACAAGCGGTACCACGAGGGCGGGTGAGCTGAGGGCCTGAAACGGATGCGTGGGGTGATTCCTCTCTTCCTCTTTCACATTTACAGTAGGCCCTGATACGGGGTAACCTGGGAGATGAACTGGGGGACCCAGTGGGGCAGGGAGTCAGCGGGCTCCCCCTTCAGGTCACAATTGTGAGAAAGGGAGAGGCATTTCCCAGGAAAGAGTGAGGCCCCATCCTGAGCTGCCCCGGAGAGCTGGGGCTTCACCGAGTGACTGAGTCCTCCTCGACCAGGAATACAGAAAGGGGACTGCGGACCTCCATAAAAGGCCCGAACTGGCATTCTCACACGGCTAGGACACTCTGCTCTGCCCTCATGACGTTGCTCAGGTCAGCATTTTGCTGCCCAACCCATTCCCAGGAGTTGGTTCCGTCTGGCAGGAAAGCCCAGAGTTGGTCCCGCTCAAGTCCACCTGCCTCCAAATCTGGCTCCCACCCTCGTCTCCGGCCCCTCAGGCTTCTGAGCCCCTGCAACGGAGCCCCATTGCTGTCTGAGCCCCAAGCCCTGAGCAGAGACTGTGTAGACTCTGCCCATCCCTGGCGGCATAGTCCTTAACAGGTGACAGATTCCTCTCACTCACTTTATCCCTGGAACAGATCGGGAAAAGGCAGGATTATCATCACACCCTTATTCTCATTCTTCAGAGAGAAACGGAGGCCCAGAGCGATCTGAGAGGACTGGTGCAGGCTGGTGGCGGGGACTGCAGGGTTTCTTCAAACCCTGGACAGTGCTTTCCTCTCTCCGGACCCCAGTTTCCCACCTGGAGGGTACAGAGGCTCTCCTAGGCCCCTGGCCTGTTAAGCACTTGCTGTGGGCCTCCCATGCCTCCCAGGCCTCTGTGAAGTCCACCTCAGCATGTGGGGTCAATCCTGCCACCGGCAGTTCCACCCAGTTCCCTGTCTCTTCCTGTCTTGCTTTTTCACTTTTCCCTGCACTCCCTATGCAGTGACCCCTGTGCAGTCCACAAGAGGTTCGTTTTGGGGCGAGTGGGGGTGGGAAGGGGCAGAGGATAAAGAGGCAATGTACAAAGACCCTGAGACCTCAGACCCAGGGGGAAAGTTATGAACTTGGGTGCTGCTGTGAGACAGAGAGGGATGGGCGAGACGCAGGAAGCGCAGAAAACATGTTCCAGTTTTGCAGGAAGATCTGACCTCTAGAAGCATGTGCGGGCAGGACCAGCCTCTTGGTCACCATGGGAGCTGTCTCCTCCTGCCACTTCTCACTCTATCGGCCTCTCACCCCACCTTCCTTTGACTGACTCTCAGTGCCACTATTTTTCTTGGTCTATGTCTGCAGGGCCTATGGAGGCGGAGGGGGGCAGAGAAGGGGGACGCCCTACACAAATGTAGACATTTGTTACAGTCAGATAAAAACATACAGATGCTCATATTTTGGAGTTAACCACTTTTTTTAATTTTCTTTTTTTATTCTTTTTAACCACGTTTTATAATAACATTTGTTCTCTTTTTAAAGTTAATCTATTGGGACCCTCACAAAATGGAACTGGTCCCCTTTTTGAGAGGTCTTACCTGTCCTCAGGTCTCTGGCATGGGTGAAGCACACCAGTCGGCTGCATTTCCCACAGAAGCCGGCAGGGGTCGCCCGTCGACAGACCAAGAGGGGGCGGATCGGGGGCGGGACGGGGGCGGGGCCACGAGCTTGCGGGACCAATAAAGGCAGCGCGCAGCGGCGTGGGGATTATACCTCCCGGTTGCGTGTGACCTTCGCGGCCGTTTCCTCCGTTTGCAGCGGGAACATCCCGACCCGACCCCACCGACCCGCGTCGCTATGCTGGCGCTGCGCTGCGGCTCCCGCCTGCTCCGCCTGCGCCCGGTCCCGCGCTCCTCGCCGCTGCGCCTCCTGGCGGCCCGCACCTGCAGCGGCGGCGGCGCCCGCGACCCCTCCGCCGCCGCCGGGAACCCGCTGGTGTACCTGGACGTGGGCGCCGACGGGCAGCCGCTCGGCCGCGTGGTGCTGGAGGTGAGGCCGGACCGGACCGTGCCGCACTGCGGGGGGGTGTCCTCAGGGAGCCCTGCGCCCCGGACCGGCGCTGTGCCCGGCTCTCGGGGCGCCCTGGCCTCCCCCTCCCGGGCTCTGGCCTCAGTTTCCCCACCTCTGGGAAGGGACATCGGATCGGCCTCCGCTCTCATCCGGGAACTTTGGAGAAGTGGAGTCCGGAGGGGGGGAGGGTATGTGTGGACGGGAGAGCTCAAGGTCAGGTTGTAGCCTGTGAGGGCTCGGCCCACTAGTCCGCCCGGGGGGAGGGGAGGGGTTCCCCGGCCGCTCCGTATCGGAACCTGGACCAGAACTGCGAGGTGGGTAACTGGGGTCCGGATCCTCATGGCGCGGGGGGCCGGCCCGGGCGCGCACGTGGCGGCCTTTGCCCCGGGCGAGCTGGGCTGGCCCCGCCCCCACCCGGCCTGCCTTCGGGCTCCCGGGCCTCCGGGCTCTTTGGACACCCGCCACCCCTGTGCTTGGGCTTCTCGGCCAGGGGCCCCGTCTGCGGGCTCCCCGCCAGGCTCTGGGGAATGAGTGAGGTGGTTAGGAGCACCGCCCGCGCGTGGTGCGGGGCTGTGGGGCTGTGGGGCTGCGGGGCTGGGCAGGCGGCGGGCTCCAGCCACCAGGCAGACCCCGATGCTGAGTCTGGGCAGTGTGCCTGGAGCCCAGTTCCACCCCCAGCCGCCCTTCCAGCCAGTTCCTGCTCCTGACTCTTTGGGCCCTTTTTTAAAAAATGAAAGCAAGAAGCAAAGACCTGAAGGTAATAGCGGGCAGGTAGCAGAAGCTCCGTGTGACCTTCAAGCTTGGCCCTATTTTGAGCAAAGGGGGCTCAGAGAAGCCTCAGCTTTCTCTGCTGGAACATGGAGATCACCGTTCCTGCTCCCGTTTACTTTCTCGGTGTCTTTTGAAGCTGGGGGACAAGGAGACCCGCTTGGCTGGGGCTCCACCCTCTCCTTTTTCCCACCCCTCTTGCCTCTCTCCGAGCCTCAGTTTCCCATCTGCGCATTGAGAAGCGTGGACTGGCTCCTCCTGGGCCCTGAGGCTGATGCTTTGGGCCCAGCTGTAAGCCCGGGTGGCCCTGTGGTCTCTCCGGACACATTAGGAAACAGAGACTGCCACCTCCCCGCCTTGGATTCAGGAAGCAGCTGGCAGAAATGATAGTTGCTAGGCTGCCTCCTACCCGGCACCGGGAGTAACAGGAATGGAATGGCACGTGTTGATTTCTCAGTCTCCCCGGCCTCTGTGGAGGTTGGGTGTGAGAGGTTCCTTCCTTCACCTGCCTCAGGACTAACCATCTTCTCTCATCCCTCCTCTCTCCTTACAGCTGAAGGCAGATGTCGTCCCAAAGACAGCAGGTAAGCGAGGGGCAAGGCCAGGGGGGTGGGCTGCCAGGAGGGGTCTGGGCAAGCAGGCCCGGGATCAGACGGGAGTTCCGTGTGTGGCTCAGCCACTGTGCCCCTGGGGCCGCCTGCTTTCCCTGTGGGAGCTCAGTGTTGGCCCTGCCACCTGACCAGTATCAATAGAGGGCACGTGTACGTTTCCCTGGGACAACTTCCTGGTGGTGTCTGGTGTGACAGGCTGGTGGCTCACAACCTTGAACTCCCTACCCCGCTGGCCTGGTGCTGGAACAGTGAGGATTGTTTGCTGCCACTGAGATCAGAGAGGGAGATGGCATGTCCCAGGTCACAGCCAGAGCAGACTTGGGGCGGGCTAGGGTCTTCAATGCCCTGCTTGCCTGGGGGGCTGGAGGGTGGGGGGGTTCGAGGGGATGCTGGCTGGAAGAAGTGCCACCCTTGGGGCTGAGCTGAGGCCTGGCCTGCTGACCTGCCTCTCCCTTGCGCCCTCAGAGAACTTCCGGGCCCTGTGTACCGGGGAGAAGGGCTTCGGCTACAAGGGCTGCACGTTTCACAGAGTGATTCCGTCCTTCATGTGCCAGGTACTGGGGCAGCGGCTCAGGTCCTCCTCTGGGAGGGGCAACGGGGGCCACTGCACAGCAGTGTTCTGAGAGGTGATGGGGAGCATGTGCCTGGTGCTTGGAAAGTTCCGAGTAGAAGGCAACTGGAATTACTCTTCCTGGCCTCACCCTGTCTGTGCTGCCACGGCCCCTCCTGCCCCAGAAGTTAAGCAACAGGGCAAGTGGCAGGTGGCCCTGCCCTGCTGGTTGGGAAAGTTGGGCCTGTGGAGGGAGCACTGACATTGGGTATGGACGTGCGTGGGAGGTGGATCTTGAGGCTTAGAGGACTAGTGTGTACAGTCTGAGGTGCCCTGTGTGTCACAAGCCGGGGCATGGGGGAAGAGGAAGAGGAAGAGGAGGGAGGGAGAGCACGAACAGGAGCGTGATGCTTCAGCTGGGCTGGCCAGGTTACCCCTGTGACCTGAGAAGACGCCCCTCTCAGGAAAATGGCAGCAAGCCCTGAGGAGGGGGCCTGTCCCTGCAAAGGCACCGGGGAGCCACGTTAAGACCGGGACAGGGAGGGGCTCAGCATGGGAACTGGCTCTGTGCCAGCTGCCGCTCTCCACATTCCAGACCTGAGGTCTGGCCCCTGGACACCTCCCTGCTTATCCTCTAAGAGTTGTGGGTAGAAAAGTCTGGGTCAGTTAGAATCTTGTCCTTGGTTGTTAAATCCTTGGAGGGTCAGACAAAAAGTGAGTCATTCGGAGATCGGGATAGTTATTGTTAGAATTATCGAAGCTTATTTTACTTTTGCTTATTTTCCTTATTATTTTGTCAGTCCTTATATAATTGGATGTTTTTGACCCCTTTGCCTAAGGCTTCCAGCGGGTGGGCCTGATGGGTGGGTTTCGGGGAGGGGGGGTCTCTGGTGAGCGAGGGCTCCCAGCACTGCAGCAGTGTCCCCCTGCCATCTGGCAGCCACTCAGAAGGTGCTCTGTGCTACAGGCTGGCGACTTCACCAACCACAACGGCACAGGGGGCAAGTCCATCTACGGAAGCCGCTTTCCCGATGAGAACTTCACTCTGAAGCACGTGGGGCCAGGTGAGTGGGGGCCACGTTCCCTGGTCCGAGTGCCCAAGCTCTGACCCAGCCTCTGCCGTGCCTGGCAGGCCTGGAGGCTGCAGTGTGACCCTGACAGCTCTGTCCGATCGCACGCCTTCCTTCAGTGCTCAGTTGGCTGGGTTTGCCTTCTGAGCTCTCCATTTAAAAACCAACTATCCTTTGGGAACTTGGTAAGGGCGAGGGCCTTCTAGCCAAACCCCAGCATTGTGTCGTCTCTAAGACCCAAGGTGCTTGGTGAGAAGCCTGGAGTCAGTGGGTCCTGCCTGGCTCTACCTGAGAGCTTCCCAGCCCTCTGCTTCCGTTGGAGGCGGCCGGAGCTGCTCGTCCTCCGGGCCTGGTCCTCCTCTGGCTCAGGTGTCCTTATGTCGTTTGAGCCATCTGCTCTTTGGAGTGACATCCAGGTGAGATGCTTCCCGGGGCAGCGAGGCTCACCCCTGCCTGTTTCTCAGGTGTCCTGTCCATGGCAAACGCAGGCCCCAACACCAACGGCTCCCAGTTCTTCATCTGCACCATCAAGACCGACTGGTGAGTTCCCGTTCCTGGCCCCAAGCATGGGGGCAGCCTGGCAGTGGAGGAGGGGCTGTGTGCTTTGGGAGGAAGGTGGTTTGGGGCTGGACTGTCTGCTCTGGGACAGTTGCCCTCCCGGGGCTGTGCATCTGTTTGAGAGAAAGAGGAAGTTCCTGAGAGGATTGAGGGAGAATGTGGGTGGTTTTTGCAGCTCTTGCAGTCAGCTGGAATTTTCTCGGTGTGTTTTGCACACACATAAAAAGTACATTCAGGAAGTGCTGCGGAACATATCGGACCCCAACATGACCTGTCCTAGAAGCCGTCCCCGCTTGCCCGGGGTATGCTGCTGTTCCCCAGGCTCATTTGGGCCGTGGGGAACCGCTGTGGTAGACGTGTGGGTGTCACCCCATTTTCATCAGGCATGAGCAGAGACCTGCAGGCAGCCCAGCCCCTTGGAGCCCCTTTTCCCACGTGCCTATGGATTTTAGGGAGTCTTCCCAGCAAGGGATGCATTTCTCTGCCAAAGATCCTTGTGTTCCAGCTTTGGGGCACCTGGGGTGGAGGGGACAACAGCTGGCCAGGGGCTAAGACTTACATTTCTGAGGACTTTGGGGAGACCTGGGTGAGGGTAGATCCTAGTTGTCTCCAGCCTCCAAGCCAGAAGGGCCTGGTTGTCGGCTGGGCAGGAGGTGGCTGGCTCCGCCTGCTCGTGGCTCCGCTGTCAACCCTCACTGGGCTCTGAGGTTCTGCCCGTGGCTGAGTGGCCGTGGCCCTGCTGGCGCTGGACAAAGCTGCTCTTTGGATTCTCGGAACTCTGTCAGGTTGAGGACTGCTCAGGACTCAGTCTCACACACTTGTTACCTTGGCTGTCACCTCATGACTTAAAATAGTCCCATTTACACAGACCTTTTATTCCTTCCGAGTGGCTCAATATTCTGAGCAGAGCAAGAATAACTCCGTCTTCCTGGGTGAGGATACCAGGCCGGTCACACATGTGGGGCCCTGGAGGGAGGCATCCTTGGCTGTCCTCAGGGACTCGGCAAGGCTGGTTAATACCGGGAGCGATGGGGAGCAGCTCCCCCTTCTCAGTGTGCGCCCCTTTCAGAATGGCTGTTTCTGGTAGATAGTGCCATGAGCAGGTGACCGTGATGTTGGCTGACATTGCATTGTTCTTGCTTCTGTCCACTTGTCCTCACAGGCTGGATGGCAAACATGTTGTGTTCGGCCACGTCAAAGAGGGCATGGATGTGGTGAAGAAAATAGAATCCTATGGCTCCAAGAGCGGGAAGACGTCCAAGAAGATTGTCATCACGGACTGCGGCCAGTTGAGCTAACCCTGTGGCCGTGCTGGGCCTGCAGCAGCTGCACCTGGGTGCTAATGCACCAGGTGGCTGCCTCTGGCTCCGGTGGAGGCCCCGCACATGGCGTGCTTGCTCCATCGCCATGTGCTTGGAGGAGGAGGCATCTCGGACGTCTGAGCTCCCTGGGCCCCCAGGCTGCTTCCTCAGTGCCCGCCCTTCAGGACCCTGTCTGGGCCCCCGTTGTGGACATCATGTCACTACTCATCACTTGACTAGCCCAAGTACACGTGTGCCTTGGACACTGGGGTGGTGGTGATGGGTTCTGATTTCTGCCTTTTCCTTGACCAAGGGGGAAAGCCAGATGCAAAAAAAGGCTGTGAATGTCTGTAATGATACCTTCCTAACAGGAATAATTTAGTTAACACGACTACTTGGAGATGAAGCTGTGACACTAACTACTCCATGCTGTGAGGTGGCCTCTGGAACGCAGGCAGGGCTTCTCAGAAGGGTCTCATGGCCCAGGCCTGGCCCAGCCCCTGTGAGTCCTGGCGGCCTGCTGCTGTTCCTGAGGAGAGTCTGTGGGGCGGAAGCAGATGAACCTGGGAACCAGGCCATTGCGAGCTGAGCCTAGCCGATGTGAACCCCTGGGTGCAAACTAGAAACGGCCCACGAGTGCTGTGGGCTCTGGGAGAAAGTGTATTTCCTGGTGGGCTTTGGTTTGTCTATTTAATAATTTAATCAGTAATTTGATTCTACTGATTATGTGTATAGTAGACTTCAGGGACATATATTTGTGTTCTCCTTAAATGTGAAAAATAAACCCTATTTTCTATAAAGACTGGTGTGTGAGCCGCCTTTACTGAGTTACCCTGTGTCTGCTGCTGTGCTGAGGGCGTTTCCATGGTGTCAGTCATCCCAGCCACCACGAGGGTGTTACTGCCCTCCTCTCACAGGTGAAGGAATGGGCTCAGAGTTCAGCACCCACAGCCTTTCCAGGAGCACTGCTTCCACCCAGCATGCCAGCCGCCCTTGGTGACAGCCTCACTTCTCCTCAGCTCACAGAAACAGGAGCGCTAACCACCGGTGAGGGTCCCATGGATGCACGCAGAGCGTGGCACATCTTAGCAAGGACGATACTTCCGTGTGTCAGGATTTTAGAGGAGAAGGCTCAGTCATCTAAGGTTAGGCATGGACTCCACTCTCTGAGACGTGCCATTTACATTTGGAATAGCTTCTAGGTGTTTCTGAATCCACAGGGGAGGCAGGCCAGGGGGTAAGAGGAAGACTAAGCATCCCTCATCAGCCAGCTGTGGCACAGTCCACACAGTGGAATAATCACCTTTTATTCATAGTGTGAAAGGAATTGCCTGTTTCAGATTATGTGTGGTCACATGTCCTGATAGTCATTTTGAGGTCAGCGGCTGGATTGGGTCACTGGGCAGATGGGGCTGTGAGTCGGGTTTTGTGGCGTCACATGTTGACACAGTCCATGGAGTCATGGCTGGATTGTGTCATGTGGTGTCATGGAGTGTTTCCATGAAGTCAGTCGGTTGGGAGCTCAGCCCACCCAGCAGTTTTTAAACAATGAGAGCCTTAGGGGTCCTCAGCCCCGAGGCAGGTTCTGTCTGAGGCTTTTCAGAAAGCACAGGCCTCCGTCCTCAGGTCACACACATCTGAGGTCACAGCTTCAGTCCCTGCAGTTTCCCCTTGACCCCCGGGGACTAGGGAGGCAGAGGAGCTGTTGACAAGTTTGAGGAGTGCCCCACCCTTGAGGTGTGACCTGCTGGTGCGTTTTGATTTCCGAGGTAGTCTTGGTGTGTGGTGTGTCCATCCAGGGGAGTCTGATGTATGGGGACAGGGCCAGTGTGCAGGGATTTCCTGAACAGTTTCCTGAAAATGGGGCCATTTACACAGCTCCATTCCCAGCATAGGAACCGGGGCCTTGTCTTATATGAGCAGAAGCCTAAGTAGCACACAAGGAGGACACTGACGCACTGCTGGCGTGAGGTACCTTAGGCATGAACGGGCAGTGAGTCATGCACATGCTCTCAGAAATCAATCATGTGGTGCCGTGTGAACACGTGTGTAAATACCTGGAATCACATTTTTCTCAGACATTTCACAATGACTTCATTGCATCGTTTGCTTACAGTAAACTTGACATATTTGAAGTGTATAGTCGATGACTTTACACTTAAAGTCATCGACTATACACTTAAAATGTATACATACACTAAGGAACCACCACTCAAATTATAGGACATTTCCATCTCTCCAGAAAGGGGCCTGCCTGGCCCTCCGAGGCAGCTACTGAAGGAGAGGTTAATTTTGCCTCCTCTGGGATTTTGTCAATGGAATCACAAGTTTTACTTTCGTGTCTAACTTCTTAGTGTAGCAGGGTTGAGAACGGAGAATTTCATAGCCCCTGGGCTCTGTGGGATGAGCAATGTCCACCGATGTTTCTCGGGCTGGTAAGGCCTAAGCAAAGCTTCTCCCGGAATCGCAGGGACTGATGAAGAATGCAGATCTCCGGGCCGCTCCTGACGCCTGCTGAATACAAATTTCTAGGGTGGCATCTAGGACCCTGAATTTTAAAATAACGAATCTGCTAAAATGAGACTATGTGTGTGTAGGCCAGAGAGGCAAGATTGAAAGGGAGGTCATGGCTCACCACTCGAGTCATTGTTTACTTCTGGGCACATACGTGCTGGATGCTCTGGGGGTCTGAGGAGACCCTCCACCTACCGTGTTTCCCCGAAAATAAGACATCCTCCGAAAATAAGACCTAGCGCAACTTTGGGAGAAAAAATTAATATAAGACACTGTCTTATTTTCGGGGAAAACCAGGGTAGAAAGAGGCCTCACCCTAGGAGTCAGCACTCTCGGATGGAGGCAGCTGTGCCCTCTATGGCCCCAAGGGCAGCTGCTGCTGCCTCCGTCGTGGGCTGCATGTGAGGGAGGAGTCCCACGGTGGCACCTTGGCTGTTCCCTTGCCATCACGGAGGAGGGTCTGGCTTGGTGGGCCCATGATGGAGAGAATTTCTCAGTGAGGGAGAAATGGGGACCAGAAGTCAGATCCATGTTCAAAGCCCACTGGAACGGGGTAGGTAGAGAAAGTCTTGGTTCCACTCTGCACCCCAGATCCGTCTCAGCTTTTAGAATTATGATGGTAGTATTATTAATTATTTGTTATTATATTGTAATGGTTAACCTGGCTGGACCACGGGGTACCCAGACATTTAGTCATATATTATTCTAGTTGTGTGTGAGGGTGTTTTGGGGGAGATTAAAATCTGAAGAAAGCAGGCTGCCTAATGTGGGTGGGCTTCACCTAGGCTGTCCGCCAATGAGGAGGAAAAGGGAACCCCTCCTGCCTGCTGAGCTAGGATGCAGATTTCTCTCCTTTGGACTTGAACTGAAGCATCAGGTCTTCCTGGGTCCTGAGCCTGCTGACTTTTGGACCTGAAGTTACCCCAGGAGTCCTCCTGGTTCTCAGTCCTCCAGACTTGGACCAGAACTTACACCACTGGTCCTGGCTCTCAACTTGCTGCCTGCAGGTCCGGGGACTTCTCAGCCTCCATAATTTCATGAGCCAATTTCTCATAGTAATTTTCTCTCCCTCCCCTCCCCCATATTGGTTCTGTTCCTCTGCAAAACCCTGGCTAATACATATATACTCATTTCTCCTACTTGTAAACCAAAATGTACTTGTAAAAATTCAGATGTTATATAAATAAGTCATATAGACAATTAAATTACCTATAGCTCTATTGTATTAGTAATTGGTATGGGTATTTGCATTTGCTTAGGATTTAGAAAGGTGCAAAACCTAGCATTCCTACCCCAATAAAAAGAAAAGGCTGAATAAGTAATAAAGTCATAACTTCCTTTAAGTTCATCAGAAAGGCAACCTGGTGACGTGAGTTCCAAAGAGGGACAAAGCCCTAGAGCACATGTGTCAAACACAAGGCCCACGGGCCAAATCCGTCCCGCCAGGCCTTGCAATGTCACCGCGCTGTCATCACTGCACTCCGCTGCGTTTCCATCACAATGACAGTTTATGACTGTTCAGCAAACCATTCGGCCCGCGATTTAGGCTGGATTTTAGATTTTGGCCCCTTCTCTGATTGAGTTCGACACCCCTACCCTAGAGGGAGACACAGGACACGAGGAGATGCAGCCACAGGACAAGTGGGTGAGATGAAGGTGTGGCCACGGGACAGTGGGTGAGATGGAGGTGTGGCCATGGGACAGTGGGTGAGATGGAGGTGTGGCCACGGGACAGTGGGTGAGATGAAGGTGTGGCTACAGGACAAGTGGGTGAGATGATGGTGTGGTGATGGGACAGTGGGTGAGATGAAGGTGTGGTGATGGGACAGTGGGTGAGATGAAGGTGTGGTGATGGGACAGTGGGTGAGATGAAGGTGTGGCCACAGGACAGTGGGTGAGATGAAGTCAGGTAAAATTTTAATGAATTCCTGAAGGCAGATGAGCTGGTGTGTCCGTTTGAAATAGCTGGGGCTCCCCACGTGTTCACTCATGGTCCAGGCCTCTTCCTGGATGACTGGATGCTCAGCAGAAAGGCTGGGCATTGGAGAATGGCTGGGCATGGGAGGGGGCCCAGGAGAGCCCGCCCTGGTGTGCAGGCCGTGGCGGTTTCAGCTCCTGGAGAAAGTGAAGCCGCGCTCACTCCTCAGGTGCTTCTCTCCTACGAAGCAAAATCCTTACTCCACTGGGGAGGACCGTGAAAGAAGCAGAAATTCACTGCGGCTGGGGGCCCGGTAGAATAAAGAACTCTAACCCTTGGGGAGGGGCGAGAGAACAGCCAGGGCCCAATAGCCTCCACTGATACCAACCAGAAATCAGCTGCCACAGGGGAAAGGGCAAAATCCCACGGAAGACATGCCTAAGACGGAGGCTGGACCAGGACCGCAGCGAGCCTGTCCCCACCACTCCTTCCCATCAGTGCCCTTGCACATGATGAATTTATTGTGACTATGAATTCGGATGGTACTGTAATTAATCTACCTACACAATTAAATTTCTGTTTGATTTTAAGCGATGTCGTCCAGTGCCTGCAAGAAATGAGAGAACCTTTTAGAGTTGTAATGGAAGCTCTGTGGTCACACCATAATCTAAAGGACATGAGTTTGTCATTTTCTTATGGTAAATAATCAAGCATGCTCAAAATAGTTCATTCCACGCCATAGTCCTTACAGTCATCATCACTGACATTAACAGCCAGTGGCCTCCCATGGCACACGCTTCCCTCATCACTTAATCACAGGTGATAGCATGATAAATTGTGGTGTCACTGCATGCCATACATGGCCAGAATTCCATTTCTCATTGGCAGGTAATTCAGCCTTGCTCCAAGTCCAAGAGCACAGCCAAACAAATCTCTAAATCCCATCTTTATGGGGTTATCTCCAGTGTCAAGTCTTTATTGGACGGGTCCAAACAAGATACTGGAACAACACAGTAATTTCAACAGGAGAAGCTCCATATAAAAAATTATTAACCATAGCATGTGTTTACCTTCTGAGGGAAAAAGGAGAGTGCTGAAGAGTAAAGTGTCTCTTCGGTGCCCTCTACTGGTAAAGCTTAATTTAATTTCAGGTGGCAATTACATTGTCACAAAGGACAATGGAGGATTTACAACTAGAGAAATGGACTCATAAGGTGCATTGATCATTGCTTTCTTATCCAATCTGATGATCTCTGCCATTCAATTAAATATTTAGACCATTTATACTTAACTTGATTATCAATATAGTTAGATTTAAATTGTGCATCTAGCTATTATTTTCTTTTTGTCCCATCTGCTTTTTTGTTCCA